CTATCGACATGCCACCGGGCTTGCCATACCCGCCACCGCCCATGTACTTGGCGCCATCGCCATACATGCATCAGCCCTTCGCCCCACTGCGCCCTCATCAGAGATTCATCACTCTCGAGTCGGGGGAGCACCGGTGGGTGAATATTGATCGGGACGGAGGGCTGATCGATGGCCAAGGGAGGCCGATCGATGATCGAGGGAGGCCGATCATGCGGGCATACAGCGGGGCTACGATGCACGTCAGTGCTCAGCCCAGCGAGGGAGGAGGGGAGAGAGGTGGCATGGATGATGCGGGTGGGGAGGGACAGGAGGGGATGATGGAGGAGACGGGCGAGCGGGCCCTAGATTTCGTGAGACAAGTTCGTGAGGTGGAGCGAGAGATAGATGCCGGGCAGGCTATGGCAGAGGAGGATAGTGGTGGGCAGGTGAACTTAGATATCGATTGAGGTGTGTTTGTGTGGTGAGCGGCTGTCTCTGCATGAGTCATGTGTGTTTTTGGACAGTCCATCACTCAATCTGTCGATAGCTCGTCGTATTCCATCACTCAATCACCAGTGAATCAATCCTGCTTGTCTGTCTCGCCCAAGCAACGCTCAAGCACTTGCTTTGCTCGCTCTCCTCATCCTCGCCGCCGGCCGGATTGCTTTTTTTTCTTTTTTCCGGGCCAAGCTCGACGCCAGGCGAGTCAGGAGGCCTGCTGCTATGCCCTGGTGACTCAGACGGGCAAGCAGAAGGCGTGTGAATTGCCTCGGATAAATGGGACAACGGATAAATGGGAAAAACGCTAAATGGGACACCCTGGGCACTGTCCCACTTATCCGAGGCCCACTGTACGCCGACTCAAGTCTCGGCGACAATGAGGACGGAACGAGTACAGGTGGATACCTGACGTTCCTCAATGACTGTCTGGTTTCGTGGTCGTGCAAGAAGCAGACCTACATAACGGGGAGCACGATGGTGGCCGAGTATGTCGCGCTGTACAATGCATCGCAACACCTGCTGGCACTCAAGGAGTTCCTGGGAGAACTCGGGAGGAAGGTCAGTTCGGTGGAGTTGTACACGGACAATGACGTAGCGAGGACGCTGACGGCCCATCCCCAAGAGAAGAAGACGAAAGGGAAGACCTACATTCGTCTTGACTATCTGGCGCTGAGACAGACAGTCGAAGTGGAGGGGTTCAAGATTTGTCGCGTGGACGGGAAGGAAAACCCAGCCGACATCTTGACCAAACCCCTGCCAGCAGCGAGA